GGAAATGTGCATGAAATATTATTGGGTGATAAGGTGGCATTAAAAGAAAATGCATGTGAAATGAAATGCAAACGAAATAAACCAAAAAAGAATACCATGTGAACCAATGCATGGGCGAGGCAATCTAACCAAAGGATAAAGGAATGGATAAGGAAACATTGCATGCACAAGCCACCAATGGAAAGTGGCGTTAATAACAAAGTAAGGAATTGCATGGCATGACATGTGATTAAATAGAAAAAAATAAAAAAGAAAGGAAATGACCTTGGGCAATCTGCCCATGTATGAGAAAATGAGAAATGAAAGCCAATTCAAGGCTTTTGCCTTGAGAGATCCACCCCATTTGGAAGAGAAATGAAAGGAAAATAGCTTCGTGAGCCTTCCACCCTAGAAGAGAGAAAGAGTTAAGTGAAAAGGCAAACTAAGTGAGGGCTCGATTTTGTAAGATTTTAGAGTACCCATGAGCTCTTTCTTGCTATTTTCCTATAATCAAGGTTCATTGCTCCTAGAAATTCATCCTTTATTGAGAGATATGGGTTAGATCTCATGGTAGCTAAGAAATATCAAGGAAAAGGACTAGAAACCACAAGGAAGAAAGTGTGAATGATTCATGGGTTCAAGGAAAGTTTAGGTAAGTAAAGTTTGAATTTGATCTATAATTTCTTAAGGAATTGAATTGTGATTGTGTGAAATTGTTTGTGGCAGAAAAAGTCTTCCAAGATTTGAAAGAAATAGATGCATGTATGTGGGTTAATCTTAGAAGTATGGTGATTTAAAGCTAGACAAATGATGGGTAAGTGCTTTTAATCTTGAGATCATAAGTGGAGAGGAAAAATAAAAATATGTATTGATTATTTGTGCTTGTGGTAGCAAGGGTGACCGAGGATGTGAGGAGTTAGTGAGTTGCATGTGGAATTCAAGGTAAAAATTGGAGGATAAGTAGGGAATGTGGGCATACTATGTTACATTGGATTTGGTTAGTTTAAAGTTTATAGATTTCATTTTAAATTATTGTGAATAATAAGGATGAAAAATGTGAAATTAGATTAAAGAGTCATTGATTAAGGTACTGCCCATATATGCATACAATTAAGCATAAATACAGAAGGCTTGCCATGGTGGTGTATTGGAGGAGGTAACGGGCGACCAGCAAGTAAAATTAACTAGAGACGCACCCGAATCAATAACGACGTAGCGTCCCATTATTGTGAGGTGAGTAAGGGGTGTCTATTTTAAAAGTTCTATAAACTATATATTGATATACGTTTAATAAACGTTGCCGAATTTTTTTAAATGCAATTATGGATAATATGAGCTGGTAGAATGCTAGGCACTTGTGAATGCCATGTTTTTAGAAATGTTTTGTATATATATAAGTTATATATGTAAAAGGTTTTAGAAATCGGGAAACAAGCTCTTTGCCACGGTTTATGTCAAAATGTGCCTTATTTGTTTGTGTGATGTGCATTCATGAATAAATTATATGTTGACTATGCTGATTTGATATTTAAACCTTATGCAAAGGTTTTACATTATAGAGTCTTACAAAAGGATTTTATCATATCACTATGATTGGTGTTTTGGAAATAGATTTAAAATAAGCTTTTGAGAACCTAACTTGCTTATAAATGGTTTTGTCAAATCAAGAGATTCGAGAGTAGGCCGAATATCACATCGGGATAGTGTGACCCTTGTGCACAAGTGAACTCTGGCTAGAGAACCTTTGGGTCACCAACGAGCTATTAAACGTGGCTAGGCCAAGGTTTGTGATATATATACATGACAAGGCCACAGGTTGATATATGTGGCTAGGCCACAAGTTGATAAACATGGTTATGACTACATGATTTCTCCAATATCGGTCAACATCATTGAGACTGTCATGGCTGTGGAAATCTGGAGGAGGGGGGCTTCTCGAATGTTAATACGTGAAAATGGGTCCACGAGTTGATTATCGCGATTACCTATTCGAGAGTGACATCTCTTTGGGTTTTCAACATGAATTCTTTCGCATGGTGAGAATTACAAGTTTTTCCACAGCTTCTTTATTTGTACAAAGATGTTGTGTTTAATACCTCGAGGATGAGATGATTTATGAGCTTGTGTATAAGCTTTGATAATGTTTGATTTCATGGGAGTGTGCGTGCTTATGTTAGTCCGATTTTAAGTAAAGGAAATTAAATGATTTCAACGATAGAAATCTTTCATTCATGTTGCCTTTGATACAATGATTGATAAATGAATTCTTTGCATTAAAATTCTTGGTTTTAGATGTAACGCATAAATGTTCCATTTGATTTTAAATGGTTTATATATTCATATGTTTTTAATATCCAAATTTTCTATCTTTGGCTTCTTTTCCATTTTTGCCCTGCTCACTAAGCTAATGATTACTGAGTCTGTGAAACTCGCCCCAATTTTCTTATTTTGCAGAGAAGTGATCAGTTAGTGTGCTTTTCATCGGCATATTATGGTCCACTACGATGTAGGTAAAGGTATCTCCTAGCACCCTATTCTGAGTCACTCCGCTATTAGAGGTTGGGTCATTTATAGTATATTTTGTTTCGGAAGTAAACAATTGTATAGAATGTAAACATATATTTATATGATGATGAAACATAATGTATAGAGAGAATATTTTCTATTGATGAAATAGTGATGTTTATGATACTTTTGACAGACATGTTATGGTTTGACAAAATGATAATTGTGAAGGCTTGTTTAGGATTTGACAGGTTCTTTCACAAAGTCTTGAACACCGATAACGATTAAGTAGAGGGTCATTACAGTTTTGGAGATGCCCATGCAATGGTCTACCTAAGTCTTTTCAAGTGCAATCATTTTATAATGGTTGTTGAATCCAATTTGAACTACCATTGATGTTGCAACTAGTGGGGCTCTTATGGCCAAGTCTATTGGTAATGCTTATGACTTGTTGAAAGAGATGGCATCAAACAACTATCAGTGGCATTTTAAAAGGGCTCTGCCAAAGAGTGTAATTGGTGTTCACGAGCTAGATATTATTAATGTATTGTCTGCTCAAGTAACCTTTTTCACTAAGAAAATTGGTTCTTTTGGAGTGCATTTAGCATAGAGTCCTTTTTATTACTTGTGATTATTGCGATAATGGACACTCTAGTGATCATTATCTTATAAGTATGAACTTTGCTCAGTTTGTGGGGAATAAGCTGCAAAACAAGCCATATTCAAACACTTATAATCTAAGGTGGAGGAATCACCCCAACTTCTCTTGAAACAACAATCAAGGTTCTTCATTAGCTTTGAGACTAAATTTTGGTTTTAGTTTTCCACAACAACCTAGAAGCCCAGTGCAAGAAAAAAAGTCATTTTTGGAAGGGCTGCTCATGCAATATATGGTTAAGACAAATGCCCTTATTCATAGTTAGACAACTTCATTGAAAATCTTGAGATTTAAGTAGGGTAATTAGCTAATGTTGTTAATAATAGGCCTCAAAGGACCCTACCGAGTAATATTAAGCCTAATCCTAAGAGGAAAAGCAAGGAATTTTCTATGGCAGTAACCCTTCAGAATGGTAAAAAGGTTGGCAGTGGTAGTAAACAAAAAGTACCATAAAAGAAGTCAATTAAGAATGAATCAGAAGTTGGAAACTTAGACAATCAAGTACAAGTCAAGGATGCATAGGCAGCACACATTCCTTTTTCATTTCCTTAACACTTTCAGAAGAAAGAGTTGGACAATTAATTTTACAAATTTCTAGAGGTATTCAAGAAGCTCCACATCAACATCCTTTTTGTTGAAGCTTTGGAGTAGATGTTTTCATATGTTAAGTTTTTGAAAGATATCTTGACAATAACAAGGAGATTGGGTGAGTATGTGATAGTGGCACTCACTGAGGAGTGCAGTGCTATTATTTAGAACAAGCTTCCATCAAAACTCATGGATCCAGGTCACTATTCCTTACATAATTGGTGTGTTAATTTCTGTTGAAGCCTTAAATAACTAAAGGGCTAGTATTAATTTGATGCCTTTGTTGATCTATCGAAAGTTAGGATTAGGGAAATTAAGCCAACCACAATGACATTGGAACTTGTTGATCGATTTCTCACTTATCCTCGAGGTATCATGGAAGATGTTTTTGGTAAAGGTTAATAAATTCATTTTCTCGGTTGACTTCATTGTTCTTAATATATAAAAGGATTGTGAGGTTCCTATCATACTTGGGAGACCTTTTCTATGAACTGCTAGAGCTCTATTGATGTGGAGAAAGGAGAGTTTACTTTGAAAGTGCAAGACCAAGTGGTAACTTTCAATATTTTTATAACTTTAAAGTTTCCCAATCAACATGATGAAAGCTTTGTAGTGAGTGTTGTGAATAGTGTCACTTATGAGGTGTTTGATGATAATTATCCCCGTAACCTTTTAAAGGCATTGTTAGTTTCTAGCTTTGATAGGGATGATGTTGATTTTGTGGAATATGTGAACTTCTTGGATACATCATCTCATGTCTTGAGGACACCATTTGAATCCTTGGATATTTCTACTTCATCTTCACCAGCAAAGCCATCCATTAAAAAGCCTCCTTGCATTGGATCCTAAACCTCGACCTTCACGTTTGAGGTATGTTTATCTTGGTAACTCATCCACTTTTCTTATTATTGTTTCATCTACTTTTATTAACTTGTAGGAAGATAAGCTTTTAAGAGTGCTAAGGTAGCATAAAAAGGTAATAGGATGGACCATTGCCGACATTAAGGGGATTAGTCTATCCATATGCATGCACAAGATCTTTTTGGAGGATGACCATAGAGCCACCATCAACCATCAAAAAAGACTCCATCCTATCATGAAAGAGGTGGTGATAAGGAGATCATTAAATGGTTGGACGCTGGTATCATTTACCCCATTTCAAATCACTTTTAGGTGAGCTTAATTTAGTGCATCCCAAAGAAAGGTGGGATGATAGTGTTAGCCAACTCCAACAATGAGCTCATTCCCATGAGGATAGTGACTGGCTGGAGGGTATGTATGGATTATCTGAAGCTCAAAAAAGACACAAGGAAGGTTCATTTCCCTCTGCCATTTATTAATCAAATGTTAGATAGATTGGCCGGTAAAAAGTTTTATTGGTTCTTGGATGGATATTATGGGTACAATCAAATAACAATAACTCTTGGTGATCAAGAAATGACTACCTTTACATGCCCTTATGGCACTTGGCCTTTAGAAAGATGCCTTTTGGACTTTGCAATGCACTTGTTAATTTTCAAAAACGCATGATGGCAATTTTTTCTAAAATGGTTGAGCATTAGCTTGAGGTATTTATGGATGATTTCTTTATGATTGGTATTAATTTTGTTGATTGTTTTTTGAATCTTGCTAGAGTCCTCAGAAGGTGTGAAGAGATTAACCTAGTACTGAATTGGGAGCAATGCCACTTCCTGGTCCAAGAAGGAATTGTTCTTGTCCACAAGGTTTCAAGTAAAGGGTTAGAAGTGGACAAGGCCAAGATTGAGACAATTGCGAAGCTTCCACCATCAAATTTAGTGAAAGGCATTATAAGTTTTTTAAGACATGCTAGCTTTTATAGGAGGTTCATTAAAAATTTTTCAAAAATTTTCAAACCTTTGTGTAATTTGTTGGAAAAGATGTACCTTTTAAGTTTGATGATACATGTCATGTTGCAATTTTATAATTGAAAAAGACATTGGTATCTGCACCTATCATTGTGGTTCCAGATTAGAATCTTCCTTTTGAACTCATGTGTGATGCTAGTGATTATGTTGTAGGTGCAATGTTAGGCCAAAGAAAAGCAAATATTTTTCATTCTCTTTTTTATGCAAGTAAGACATTAACTGAAACTCAAATGCACTACACAACCATTTAAGAAAAACTATTAGCTATTGTGTTTCCATTTGATAAGTTTTATTCTTACTTGGTTAGCACTAAGGTTGTTGTGTACACTGATCATTCTGAAATTAAGTATTTGATTGCCAAGAAAGATGCCAAGCCAAGATTGATAAGATGGATCTAGTTGCTTTAAGAATTTCATTTGGAGATTAGTGATAGAAAAGGCATAAAAAATCAAGTAGTAGACCATTGTCAAGGTTGGAGAATGACAGCCAAGGTAATGATTTGACTTTGATCAACGAAACTTTTCGTTATGAGCAATTGTTGCATGTTGGTTAGAAGAAGTTACCTTGGTATGTTAATTGTGTCAATTACATTTTGAGTAACATTCTAGCCCCTAATTAAATTTTCATCAAAGAAAGAAATTTCTTCATGATGTTAGACTTTATGTTTGGGATGAACTTTTCCTATTTAAACAATGTGCTAACAAAATTCTTAGAATATGCATCTCGAAGGAGGAAGTTGAAAGCATTTTGAAGTATTGCCATTCTTCAGAATATGGGGAACACTTTAGAGGAGATAAAACTGCAGTAAAAGTGCTTCAATTAGGTTTTTATTGGCCCACTTTATCCAAAGATGCTCACAATTTTGTTTTGCATTGTGACAAGTGTCAACGAGTGGGCAACATTTCAAGGAGGCATGAGATGCCACTCACCAATATCCTTGAAGCAAAAATCTTTAATGTTTTGGGCATAAATTTCATGGGGCCTTTCATTTCTTCTTTCAACAATCATTATATCCTGTTGGTTATGGATTATGTGTCGAAGTGGGTAGAAGTTGTGGCAATGCCTACAAATGATGCAAACGTTGCGTAGAGATTTTTGAGGAAACATCTTCATTAGATTCATCACACCACTAGCAATATGGAGTCATGAAAGAAATCATTTTTGCAACAAGCATTTTGTAGCTATTTTTGCTAAATATGAAGTGACACACAAGGTTACAACTATCTATCATCCACAAACAAGTGGAAAACTCGAAGTTTTCTATTGGGAAATAAAAAGGAGTTTAGAGAAAGTTGTGTCCCTGTCAAGGAAGGATTAGGCCAAAAGGTTGGATGGTGCACTTTGGGCATATAAAACTGCCCGCAAAACTCCAACAAGCATTTCTCCTTATAGGTTGGTTTTTGGAAAGGCATGTCACCTTCTAGTGGAACTTGAACACAATGCTTATTAGGCCATTGATAACTCTATTATATAGAGTTATTTTGACACATTTTGGGGGCTTAAATAGCTAGATCTTTGAGATTTTAGGTTCAAATTTTAGCGTTTTAGGTGTTTTTCTATTTTAAGTTTGATTACTTGTTAAGTGATTAATTTAAGTTATTTTAGTTAAATTTTATGTTGTTTTGTTTTAAATTACTTTAAGAGTAGTTATTGCTAATTTCTCTTATGGCTTTTGTAGAAAATTGATGAAAAAAACTCATTCAATGAAAATCAGTGCAAGTATGGTGATGACTTCATTCGTATATATTTTAGTATTTTGACTATATCTCTCTATATAAAACTATAAATGAGTTAATTCTTGGACCAATAGAATTATAAGAAGAATGGCTACAAAATTTATGCTTACCAATTCTACCAGTTCTGAGTGGATCGTGGTCAAATATTTGTCAAACTCGGAGCACTGCAGTAGTACACATGGACTGAACATGATGCGGTATTTGGAGCATAACTTTCTATACAAGAGTCCAATTGATGTGATTATTGTCCATTGGAAATTTAAGAGACAGGGATAAAACTTATATGTTTATCACTTTGCCCAGTTTGGATCATATCATGGTTAATCTCATGTTTGAAATTGATAGACTGCCACAGTGCTGGGAGA